TGGGAGCCCTCTCTTCTGGGAGCCCTCTCTTCTGGGAGCCCTCTCTTCTGGGAGCCCTCTCTTCTGGGAGCCCTCTCTTCTGGGAGCCCTCTCTTTTGGGGGCACCCTCTTCTGCCCCCTCTTCTGTTGGGGTTCCCTTCCCGCGCTCCTTAACTCTTGTGGCCCAATGGCTCATAGGATCCCCTGTGACTTTCTTGCTACTTTATCTAAATGGATGATGATTTAGTGACCCATGCTCAAAAACAGCCCCATTTTGATTGTAGATACCTATAGTCAAGGCAAGCCCTTCAGAATTACCGCCACAGAAAAAACAAACGGAATCTCACTGTTGCAACTATCCGTTCGATAGAATATCCTTTTACATTTGTCGTATGGATATTTGTCGATTTTCTTGTGAACCTTGGATCTGTACTGTATGAGAATAGTCTATCCGAAATAGATACTATGTCTTGACTACCAATCAAACTTTTTTCTTGAGTATATCCTTACTCATGAAAAGCTTGTTGCAATTTGCTTCAATGCATTTTGATTTTAGTCACCCGCAGAACATGGTGTTTCTAGTGGTGGTCGCGTCGAGATTTGGCGGTGAACTCCTTGTTACAGAAGATACATCGGAAATTCATTTCGTGAGCATTTCTCGCTAGCTATAAAGGAAAAGCTACGCTTGCTGCCCATACTGGAGAAGTCAACGTGCTAATTTGCTGTCGCCCATCGTCCTAAACTTGACCGGTTGGTAGGAAGAGGCATAGGTGGTGATGGCTGCGCTTGAACGACTACATTCTCCTTCACTATCTGCCCTCTAGGCCCTGGTGTTAGACAATGCTGGCTGAGTTGACAATACCTAGAAGGTGACTAATTGTATTGTCAGCTGCTTTGTCTCGGAGCGACAAAGCCACCTACAAGTTCCTCATCCTTAAGCGATCCCTCAATGTGCTCCAAGTCTTCCTCCTCAGCTGTTCGACTTTATCTTGTCCTCGCATAATCTAGCACCGAGAATAGCTTGTAGTTGTTATCCTCCTGTTTGCGTAAAAGATCTCTTGTTGTATCCTCGACCTGGCGATCTCTCATGATCCGGGCTCGATTGTGGTGTATAACTTAACTTTCTCTGCCAGCAGCTCCACTTCCGGGCTCCGATTGTGGAAGGATGATAGGGATTCGAAGGGGTTAATAACACCATCTATATGCTCATATAATAGTACAGTAGGAGAACTGTCACCATAGACTTTGTAAGTGATATTCATCCATAAGAAGTATCCTAGATAAACTCCTGTTCCAGTGAATGCTATCGTGACCAATCAATCAATCAATCAAACGGTAGCGTACCGCAGAGGGTAGCCTACCGCAGAGGATAGCATACCGCAAGACGTGGGGGGGGGGAAAGAGGCACACTTTAAGGCTTAGAGACGGTAAGCGTGCAGGGGGTACCGTGGCGCAGAGGGTAGCGTACCGCAGAGGATAGCGTACCGCAGAGGATAGCATACCGCAAGACGTGGGGGGGGGGGAAGAGGCACACTTTAAGGCTGAGAGACGGTAAGCGCCCAGGGGGTAACGTGGCGCAGAGGGTAGCGTACCGCAGAGGGTAGCGTACTGCAGAGAGTAGCGTACCGCAGGGGACAGCCTGCCGCAGATAGGGAGTACCGCAGAGGTTAGCGCACGGTAGCCTACACAGGGTCGCACTTCTAGGGTCCCCAATACGCTCTGCCCCTGTGCATGGTGGTGCTTCAAGATTCCTGGAGCCGATTTAGGCCACCGGATCCTGACGCAACCAGGTATCTCTTCCAACGAAGGTCCCTAGTCGTGGTTCTTTGCGAACCTGTGTCATCCTGGCTGTCCGACGATGGTATCCGCCTGATGCCGAAAGATAACACAGAATGGACTGAGCTGCATGAGATATTTGTTAAACTTCTACAAGAATCAGACATCGCCTTTTACAACCTCTCAGCGACAAATACTGGTATTGAGGAAAGGGTTGGCTTCGTATTTATTGGACGTCTGGCGAAAGAAACAAGATGCTCATCCAACAGGAATAGCTGGCACTGTGTAACATTGCAGTTCCTGTCATCTTTGATGCCTAGTGTCAGCCGACTTGCGACCTTTTTTTTGGGCACACCCAATCAAAAACGCGCTTCGTAGTTTTCAGAGTAAACAAGTACCAAAAATGACTCAACCAACGCGTTTTGGTAGGATACCTAGGCAAAAGTTGTTCTTTGATGAGCGAGAAATACTTAGGCATTCTGAAAAGCCCGAAAAAGCCAATAAAAATGACGTGCAAGTGCTCGAAACTCGAGCCGCAAGTGAAAATGCTCCTGCAATAGTCCACCAACTGGCCCGTGAACCACAAGTCGACTTTACTCCGCCAATCCAGGTTCAAAATGAGCCATTCAAGGTTCTCTGGAATGAGAAACACCCACTTTATGAGGTTTTTGGGCGGATGGGTTCAGGCCCAAATTTCTTGGGTTTAGACCCTAGGTTTTCGGGTTCAAACCCAAAGGTCCATGGTTTAGACCCCAAGGTGGAGGGTCCAGTCCAACACAAATAAGGTCTGGACCAGTCAAAGATTGGGTTAACCCAAAGATTAATTGATTTGAACCAAAACGTGTTGGCGAGGCACGTGGGTAGAGAAATTTGGGTAGGCGGACCTGGGTACGTGGGGTGGCTTCTACACCCACCCCTCTGCCTGCAGCGAGTCACAGTTTCTTGAGTTCTATAAGGGAAATGCACCTCACGCCTGAATGGTCCTCGGGACTGATTCCTCTACAGTGTCGCGTAAGCGCCTACCGTGCACTACCGTAAGGGGATCAGCCCCTAGGGACAAAACTCAAAAAAAATTAAAGTGGAGCTTGCGCAAATACCGTATGGGAACCAGTCCGTAGGGTTCTTCAAACGCAAGGAGCATCTCCCTTACGGGATCCAAGGGAGGGGGTGTCTTTTAGTGCTAAGGAATGTAGGCGAGGATATTTGGGGAGGGGCTTGAAAACAGAGGGGCTTTTAGGGGAGGCGGGGGGGCAAGTTGTAGAGTTGTGGAAGAATAAGCACCTCTTCCTTAGAATGTAGAGAGCACTAGTCTTCCTTCTACTCAACTGGACCTTCTACTCCATAGGAGCAAGAAGTGGGAAACACCTGTTACTTGTAGTCAAACGCTTCTTAGGTGCCATTTAAGGCGTCTGGGCTCATGAATGAAGGAATCAGTCAACTGCCGTGAAGAGCGTCATAGAGCAAAATGTCGTGAAGCAGTTCGTCATAGAGTAAAATGTCGTGAAGCAGCTCGTCGTGAAGCAGTTCGTCGTGAAGCAGTTCGTCGTGAAGCAGTTCGTCGTGAAGCAGCTCGTCGTGGAGCAGTTCGTCGTGAAGCAGCTCGTCGTGAAGCAGTTCGTCGTGGAGCAATTCGTCGTGGAGCAGTTCGTCGTG